GTTACTGTTAAATATGGGATGACCTCAATTTTGTACGTATGTATTTATGTTAAGGTGGCCTAAATCGTTCGTACTTTTAGTGAGTACACGAACGGAAGGACAGGCTATCAAACCATCCTGAAAACCTTGAGTATAGCAGGAAAGTGCAGTGCAAGCCACCTTCAATAGTTACTGTTAAAAATGGATGACCTCGATTTTGTATGTATGCATGTATGTATGTATGTATATTAAGGTGGCCTAAATCTTTCGTACTTTTAGTGAGTACACGAACGGAAGGACAGGCTAACAAACCATCCTGAAAACCTTGACTATAGCTGGAGAGTGCAGTGCAAGCCACCCTCAATAGAATGGGATGACCTAGATGTACTATGTATATTATGCTGGTAAGGTAGCCTAAATCCTTTGTACTTTTAGTGAGTACACGAACGGAAGGACAGGCTATCAAACCATCCTCAAACCCTTGACTATAGCTGGAGAGTGCAGTGCAAGCCGCCCTCAACAGTTACTGTAAAAATGGGATGACCTCAATTTTGTATGTGTGTATGTATAATTTATTAAGGTGGCCTAAATCTTTCGTACTTTTAGTGAGTACACGAACGGAAGGACAGGCTACCAAAGCATCCTGAAAACCCTGACTATAGCTGGAGAGTGCAGTGCAAGCCAGCCTCAATAGTTACTGTAAAACTGGGATGACCTCGATTTCACCTACATTAAGGTGGCCTAAATCTTTCGTACTTTTAGTGAGTACACGAACGGAAGGACAGACTATCAAACCATCCTAAAAACCTTGGCTATAGCTGGAGAGTGCAGTGCAAGCTAGCCTCAATAGTTACTGTTAAAAATGGAATGACCTCGATTTTGTATAATATGCTGGTAAGGTGGCCTAAATCTTTCTTACTTTTAGTGAGTACACGAACGGAAGGACAGGCTACCAAAGCATCCTGAAAACCCTGACTATAGCTGGAGAGTGCAGTGCAAGCCAGCCTCAATAGTTACTGTAAAAATGGGATGACCTCGATTTCACCTACATTAAGGTGGCCTAAATCTTTCGTACTTTTAGTGAGTACACGAACGGAAGGACAGGCTAACAAACCATCCTGAAAACCTTGACTATGGCTGGAGAGTGCAGTGCAAGCCACCCTCAACAGTTACTGTTAAATATGGGATGACCTCGATTTTGTATGTATGTATTTAGGTGGCCTAAATCTTTCGTACTTTTAGTGAGTACACGAACGGAAGGACAGGCTATCAAACCATCCTGAAAACCTTGACTATGGCTGGAGAGTGCAGTGCAAGCCACCCTCAACAGTTACTGTTAAATATGGGATGACCTCGATTTGTATGTATGTATTAGGTGGCCTAAATCTTTCGTACTTTTAGTGAGTACACGAACGGAAGGACAGGCTATCAAACCATCCTGAAAACCTTGACTATAGCTGGAGAGTGCAGTGTAAGCCACCCTCAACAGTTACTGTTAAAATGGGATGACCTCGATTTTGTATGTATGTAATTAAGGTGGCTTAAATCTTTCGTACTCTTAGTGAGCACACGAACGGAAGGACAGGCTATCAAACCATCCTGAAAACCTTGACTATGGCTGGAGAGTGCAGTGCAAGCCACCCTCAACAGTTACTGTTAAATATGGGATGACCTCGATTTTGTATGTATGTATTTATGTTAAGGTGGCCTAAATCTTTCGTACTTTTAGTGAGTACACGAACGGAAGGACAGGCTATCAAACCATCCTGAAAACCTTGACTATGGCTGGAGAGTGCAGTGCAAGCCACCCTCAACAGTTACTGTTAAATATGGGATGACCTCGATTTTGTATGTATGTATTTATGTTAAGGTGGCCTAAATCTTTCGTACTTTTAGTGAGTACACGAACGGAAGGACAGGCTATCAAACCATCCTGAAAACCTTGACTATGGCTGGAGAGTGCAGTGCAAGCCACCCTCAACAGTTACTGTTAAATATGGGGATGACCTCGATTTTGTATGTATGTATTTATGTTAAGGTGGCCTAAATCTTTCGTACTTTTAGTGAGTACACGAACGGAAGGACAGGCTATCAAACCATCCTGAAAACCTTGACTATAGCTGGAGAGTGCAGTGCAAGCCACCCTCAATAGTTACTGTTAAAAATGGGATGACCTCGATTTTGTATGTATGCATGTATGTATGTATGTATGTATGCATGTATGTATGTATGTATGTATATTAAGGTGGCCTAAATCTTTCGTACTTTTAGTGAGTACACGAACAGAAGGACAGGCTATCAAACCATCCTGAAAACCTTCACTATAGCTGGAGAGTGCAGTGCAAGCCACCCTCAACAGTTACTGTTAAAAATGGGATGACCTCGATTTTGTATGTATGCATGTATGTATGTATGTATGTATGCATGTATGTATGTATGTATGTATATTAAGGTGGCCTAAATCTTTCGTACTTTTAGTTAGTACACGAACGGAAGGACAGGCTATCAATCCATCCTGAAAACCTTGACTATAGCTGGAGAGTGCAGTGCAAGCCAGCCTCAACAGTTACTGTTAAAATGGGATGACCTCGATTTTGTATGTATGTAATTAAGGTGGCTTAAATCTTTCGTACTCTTAGTGAGCACACGAACGGAAGGACAGGCTATCAAACCATCCTGAAAACCTTGACTATGGCTGGAGAGTGCAGTGCAAGCCACCCTCAACAGTTACTGTTAAATATGGGATGACCTCGATTTTGTATGTATGTATTTAGGTGGCCTAAATCTTTCGTACTTTTAGTGAGTACACGAACGGAAGGACAGGCTATCAAACCATCCTGAAAACCTTGACTATAGCTGGAGAGTGCAGTGTAAGCCACCCTCAACAGTTACTGTTAAAATGGGATGACCTCGATTTTGTATGTATGTAATTAAGGTGGCTTAAATCTTTCGTACTCTTAGTGAGCACACGAACGGAAGGACAGGCTATCAAACCATCCTGAAAACCTTGACTATGGCTGGAGAGTGCAGTGCAAGCCACCCTCAACAGTTACTGTTAAATATGGGATGACCTCGATTTTGTATGTATGTATTTATGTTAAGGTGGCCTAAATCTTTTGTACTTTTAGTGAGTACACGAACGGAAGGACAGGCTATCAAACCATCCTGAAAACCTTGACTATGGCTGGAGAGTGCAGTGCAAGCCACCCTCAACAGTTACTGTTAAATATGGGATGACCTCGATTTTGTATGTATGTATTTATGTTAAGGTGGCCTAAATCTTTCGTACTTTTAGTGAGTACACGAACGGAAGGACAGGCTATCAAACCATCCTGAAAACCTTGACTATAGCTGGAGAGTGCAGTGCAAGCCACCCTCAATAGTTACTGTTAAAAATGGGATGACCTCGATTTTGTATGTATGCATGTATGTATGTATGTATGTATGCATGTATGTATGTATGTATGTATATTAAGGTGGCCTAAATCTTTCGTACTTTTAGTGAGTACACGAACAGAAGGACAGGCTATCAAACCATCCTGAAAACCTTCACTATAGTTGGAGAGTGCAGTGCAAGCCACCCTCAACAGTTACTGTTAAAATGGGATGACCTAGATTATGTATGCTAATTATGCTGGTAAGATGGGCAAAATTTACTTTTAGATTATACCTGGTCCTCTGGTTTACACTTGTGTTTCTCATCAGCTGGTATGGCACCAGTAAGAGGTGGAATACTACATGACAAAAACAGAGAGAAATTAGCTAATGCAAGACACAATCCTTTATGTTGGTGTACATTTACTGTGCCATAGCACAGTGGTTCGAGGTTTGCCCTGTGATGCGTTGAAGATTTGAACCCCTACCAGCTAAGTTGCTCTGGTAGCTCAGTTAGTAGAGCGCTCGCCTAGAAAGAAGTGTGTTGTGGATTCCAATCCCACATATGGCAGATCTTTTTCCTTGCCGTGCAGTTGACTTGTTTGCTTTGCCTTCACATTGCTACATGTATACCTCGTCACATACATACATACCTACCTCTCTCCGGGCTTTCCCCGCCAGACATCTTGCTCCTGTGCATACTGCTGTAACACTGTCATCAACATTCCTCTCCGCATTCCCGATTTTCTGTGCATTACATCATACACACGTGGATACTATCATACGCCCCAACAGCACAATTAATAACTCTCCACTAACCTGGCCTGAAGGTGAGAGGTTGTGTAGCTGGTCGACCTGAACGGAAGACAACAAACATTACGCCTGCTACACACAGACAGGGTAGTATGGGGTTTACATTGTTTACTCTTAGTTCGGTGACTCTAACATCTTTGTTTCAGAGGCCACGTGAAAAGTGGAGGCGACCTCTCCAGGGGTCCCGGTGTAGCTGGCTCTCTTCAGCCAGTCTGAGTTCAGGTCAGAGATAGAGTGCCACTTCCTTGGTCTTCTTCTTCCATTAGTAGAGTTTTGGAGCCTCAGTCTCAGGATGTAGGGGTGGATCTTCTGCTTCTTGATGCTAGCTGTGAGAGCCGCGTTTGTGTTCTGGGCCACAAGGTGCTCAATCCATATGTTCATGTCCTTCTTTTTCTGGCACACCAGGAGAAACCCACTGCAACAAAGAGAAACAAGTCGCATGGCACCTAACATTGGTATGTTCATGCATAAGAGTTGCTTAATAGACAATCCTGCAAAAAGCATAATGCTGTAGAGTTATGGTATGTAGAAAGTCACCTACTATGGGCTATGAAAGATTCGCAACTAGCTACCAGCCCTCAAACTGTGTTCGCTAAATACTATACCACACAATTCAACTTCACTCACACCCCCTGCTGTGCAGCTGAGCATTTACAAGATTGTATGCTGTGCATGATGAGTATAACCACCATCATAAATTCAGGCACAGAAACTTTTGTGCATGTAGAGCTATGGAGATTGCCCAGTGAGTTATAATAGAGACAGAGCTAGGATTTCTTGCCGATTTTTAAAAAGGCCCCTAGCAGAAAAATATTTACATAGGAGGTTATGCTGTTTCTTTATCCCAGAGGGTTTGGACGTAAATGAATTGCAATAAGAAGCAAAAGCAATGAAGCCATTCTTGAATGGCTCTGTTTGGAGTTCATTGAGACCTCTTTGTAGGCTCTGAAAACATTTCTTGCACTGAAGTGCAAACCCTCGGCGCACTGTGACGCGCACGCGTAAGTAAACGCATGCGCCGTACCACTAATTGATGGGCTGGGTTTAGTTTTAGCTGTTACTCGTGGTCTCTTGCCAGCTCGCGCAGAGTCTGACGCAGGCTAACTACACTACTAGATAGCATGCGAGAGGCGATACACGCCCTGCGTTGCATCTTCTGGTGCCTCCGAAGTACGCAGAGCACGGGATCGATCCGACTGTGGTAGGCCACCCCGTCCGTTGTGTATTTGCATATTGGATTTTTCGCGCTCTAGCTTTGCAACGGAGCAGTTTCAGAGAAAACCGTTCGAAATATCTGACCTTCATTGCCCGTTCAGTAGGTGGTATCCTTTGTGAGACGAAAGAACACTCGAGAAGTGAGATGAAGAGTAACAGACAGACTGACAGACACACAGACAGACCCAAGTACTGTATGTAACCCTCGCTGCGCATGCGCACCGAGGGTTAACAACAGCTGCTCCTTATATAGACAGGTGTGCACAACACATAAAAGATTCCTAGCACAAAGTCGTGCAACCAGACATAGCTGCCTTCTTTCACACGAGCCATTCATTATGACATTCACTTGTCCCTATACCAGCCATCCAGCATCCATTCTACTACACATTCTACTGTCCCTTCTACGGTCCATTCTACTGCCATTCTACTTTCCATTCTACTGTCCATTCTAGTGCTCAACAGGGCTGACAGGGGCTCAACGACTTTAGCAAGGGCTGACAGGGGCTCATCACTAGAATGGACAGTAGAATGGCAGTAGATTTAGCAGTAGAATGAGCACTAGAATCAGTTGCATTCACTTTGTGATCATTCTACTGTCCTTTCTACTGTCCTTTCTACTGTAATTCCTGCCATTCTACTGTCCATTCTAGTGATCATTCTACTGCCAATCTACTACACATTCTACTGTCCATTTCCTCTGCCCTTCTACTGTCCACTCTAGTACACATTCTACTATCCATTTTACTATCCATTTTACTATCCATTCTAGTGCTCCTTCTACTGCCATTCTACTGCCATTCTACTACACATTCTACTGTCCATTTCCTCTGCCCTTCTACTGTCCACTCTACTACCATTCTAGTACACATTCTACTATCCATTCTACTATCCATTCTACTGCTATTTCTACTAGAATGGCAGTAGAATGAGCACTAGATAGAATGTGTACTAAAATGGCAGAAGAATTTTACACAGCCTCAGGTCCCAGCCCTGCCTCAACTCATAGAGACCCTGACTCAAGTCGTGGAGCCCCTGTCAGCCCTGGCTAAAGCCTGCCATTCTACTGCCATTCTACTGTCAATTCTACTTCCATTCTACAGTCCATTCTAGTGATCATTCTACTGCTATTCTACTGTCCATTCTACAGTCCATTCTAAGCGATCATTCTACTGCTATTCTACTGTCCATTCTACAGTCCATTCTAGTGATCCTTCTACTGCTATTCTACTGCAATTCCTGCCATTCTACTGTCCATTCTAGTGATCATTCTACTACGAATCTACTGCTCATTCTACTAGTAATTATTTGCTTGAAAATCAAGCAATTATACTGCCCATCTCACTTTTTGTGAGAATGTGGAATACCTTATGCTCATATATACATTTTAAAGAACACGCAGCATTTCAAGCCTAAATCAATTTCACACTTCTCAAGCAAAGCTAGGGCATACTTACTCTCTATGGTTAGATTTTTCTGGTGCGTGTAGGATAAAGCAATGCTTTATCCCGTGAGGAGGAGCCTTGGGTCTGGTCACATACGCACCGTCTAGCTTTACCAGTGTACAGTTGAGAGGCTGCAGAAAAATTCAAACAGAAGTTTTTACAGATAGCTAAACACGGTATTATTACAATTTTATTCTTACAACTCCTTTGTGCCTTTTCACGTCCTTCGTGTAGTCTCGCTCGTGGTCGTAGTACGCCAGCAGACCACCGTCGTAGAGGGCGAAGTATCGCTTTGCAAATGCGAAAGTTCGCGTCCCTTGTTTGCACATGTGGCCCACTACCAGCGGGTGCAGTGAGCGGACACCTGCGAATGCGCTAACAGTTCGGTCTTTGTCTGTCATTGATGCGTAACTACAGCTCTGCAGCAACGAAACTTGCAGTTACGAACCGCACATGGTCGCCAGCCGTCTCGCGTCTCAATACGCATGCGCAAATATACCATTGCGCCGCGCCGCTGAGTGACGTTTGCGTGATCACGCGCGCAGCAACAGCCTTCCACTAAAAACACAAGAAGACATGTTAGCTAGCTTGGTTTCTACAGTAGAGGAATGGTAGCTTTGCTTTTGTTAGAACTCCTCTGCAGTCTTTTCATTGTTTCACTTGAGAAAACTTCTTCTGCTGATGGCCTTTTTTGTGGGTCCACAGTCAACATCCATTTTATAATGTTTGCCTGAGATTGGGTAAGTAGTTGCCTCAAGCTTATAATATTATGTCATTTTAAAACAACCTCGTGGTAAAGATGATCCTTAAAGTGTTTAGGGAATATTCCATCATTTCGCAGTGCAGTTAGGACCTGTAGAAAGTGTATGGATTACCATATTACATGCACATACGGAACATGGTATATGTAGAAGGGTGATAAGCATTGCATGATCAGTTTACCTTATCCTTTTCCATATCAGTAATGAATGGGTAGTTCATTTCGAAAAAAGTTATGCCAAGTGCATAAATATCCACCTCCCTTCCATAGTTTTCCTTTTTGTTCTGCTCAGGGCTAATGTAGTAACTTGTGCCAACATAATTGCTCTTGTGAGATGCTGCTTCACCCAAGTCAACTACACCAAAAAGCTTTTATAATTGCAATTATAGTGCTTTCCTATTGACTATTATACCTTGTGAAGTTGTCACAAGACCAAAATCACCTATCTTAATTTTCCTTCCACTAAGGGAGAAAAAGATGTTTGATGGTTTGAGGTCTCTGTGAATCAGACCTTCACAGTGAATGTACATCACACCCTTCAATATCTGTGATTAATTGTGATTGGATCAACATACGTATGTATATATACACACTCACAGACCTCAACAAACCAGGCAGTGACCTCCTTTCGCTTTCTGTCTTCCTTGTGTGCTCTCAGCCATGCCTTCAATGTTTCCCGCTCACACAGCTCTGTCTTGATACACAAGCAAACTGGAGGCTCTGGGTCCAGCCTCAAAGGGTTCAAGCTGCAGAAAATTTTTCATTCACTCCAGCAAGTCCTTAACAAACTAAGATGAGCAGAAAATAGGAGCCAAAGTAACCCATAACTGATTACCCCTGATGTGCACAAATGCCTATTATTATAGTGTTGACATTGAGATAATGTTTAATAACTGACTGTATAATTATACCTTTTCCTTTTTTCAGTTTCAGGAGCATCGCCATGAAGCACATCAACTGTGCTATATTCAACCACAGCAGCTTCTGATGCTGTAGGTCCTGATTCTGATGAGTTGGAGCTGATGTAGGGACTCAGAGTAGCACTGGCATCTGGGGCTGCGTTCTGACTTTCAGTTTCTCCTGTCCGTCTCCCACTGGGATATGACCTGTAGAAAGTGTATGGATTTCCATATTACATGCACATACGGATCATTTTACAACTCATACATAGAGTAACTGCTGGGGAGCTGTTTCCATGGGGAAATTTGCTGCCAATTTGGTGGTGCCCTTGACTTCCAGGAGTCATAGTATCGGACAATGTTGGGATGATCCAATCGGGCTAGTGCCTCAACTTCTCGCATCACTTTCTGCTCTTCATCGGGTCTGCAGAAACCGTTATCGTCCTAGTTACAATTAAAGCATCATGTATTCTTACCTATCACAGAGTCTAACAATCTTCACTGCATATCTTTTCTTATCGACCTTGTGTTGCATTCTACAAACAACTCCAAATCCACCTTGTCCTAGTTCTTCTTCATACACATGATCTTTGAACCTGGATTTTGGATTTTATTGTAAAATTTTTGACATTGGTTACACTGACTCATGAAGTTCTGTTGAAGTGTCCACTGTAGTGTGTTGTGGAGAAGCCGGAGAGACCTATAGATAAGACTGCAGCTTATTTCACTGTTACAGCCTAGCTTGTATATATTGTACCTTGGTGGGTGTTTCAGGAACGATAATGACAGAGGGAGCAATTTTCCTGGTCTCATCTAAAAGGACAAAGGATTACCAAAGTTTCTCCTAGTTAGTGACAATAAACTCACTTGAATCTTCAAGCGGTGGAGGTAAATGAAGGTGAGACACCAGTTCATGGATCATCCTCTTTAGTCGCTCAAGGCCAGTACGTGTGTCGTCAGATTCTCCCTGGTAGACTGAGAGTGTTCCGTTGTCAATGCAGGCCTTAAGGAAGAGGCTCCAACAGTGGCCACGTTCCCCGTATTTCTTCACCATGTGCTCTTCCCTCCTGAGTAGCATGAATGGGTTCCCCACAGCCACTACCAGTGATCTGGCCCGAGTGATGGCAGTAATGAAGACTGCTGGGTCTGAGATGCTCCTTCTGGAATCGCGCGTTTCTCCGTCTGGCGTAGTGGGCTCTGAGGTGCTTATGAACAGAGCTCTGAATTCCTGGCCTGTGTAGTTAAAGAGCACCGGCATTAGCAATGGATTTATGTGTAAATAATAATACTGACCTTGAATCTGGTATGTTGCCAGCTTTCGGACATGTTTTACTTGAGGGGACAAATTCCTTTCCTTTGCTCCCCGTGCAACAGTCACCTAAATTGAAAAAGCACTAAAGTGCAAACCCTCGGCGAACTGTGCATGCGTCGTACCGCTAATTGATGGCCTGGGCTATTACTCGTGGTCTCCCGCTAGTTGCACACAGAGAGTCTGAGACGGGCTAGCTACAGTAGTAGATAGCATGCAGGAGTCGATACACACCCTTAGTTGTGACTTCTTGTGCCTTCAGAGCTGAGCAAGCGGACCCAGTCAAGGTAAGCCTGTGCTAATTAGCATATTGGCTTGTTCACTTGGTTTTCACGCCATAACTTTAGAACGCAGTAGAAAATCGCCTTTGTAAAATCAAGCCAGTGTAGCGCTGAACCTGTTACTATTGATCTTCGGCCGTGTGGTGGCAGAAAACCTGGTAACAGACAGACAAACAGACAGGCAGACAGACGGACGGAAGGACAGACACACTTACGAACCAAGTACTGTAACCCTCGCTGCGCATGTGTACCGAGGGTTAATTATTCTCCTTGCCAATAATTATGAACCTTGACATGGGCCGTGTAAAAGGAGCACTAACCTGTCCCCTGCAGGGAGATAGAAAGCACATTTTACTGATATCTCTCTCTCCCCAGTGATCCACTGGCCATTTCATGATAAAATATGACGCTTCTTTAAGGGCAGCTTTCACTTCGATTTCACAGATGCTGTCCTTGGTCTCTTTGACATCATGGTCGAGGCTGGTACACACAAACGATAGTGGAAATGGGGCAATCGGGTGCGCTATGTGGTCACGTACACCACATGCAAGTGGGGACTTGTAAGCAACCTGCCGGGCTAGGTTTACAATTGCAGAATGGCATCTGAAGTTGGTGGAGAGATGGGCACAGTAGGGTTTTGCCACGTCTCCCAGATCCTGGTAGAGATCATAGAGCCGCTCCAGGAGAGATACGGAGAGACCGTACTTCTGAGGCTCCTCCCCCAACACCAGAATTGCTGGACCAACCTACACATGAAAAAAAACTGTATGGTGAAACCGACAGTATTCATCCCGTGGTGGTAACATAATAATGTGACAGTATTTAGGGTTTGTTTGTCACATAAAGATCAGCATCCTGCCTGCTGAGATACTTTGGTAGCTATATATTACCTCAGTCATAGAGCACTCTGTTTAGACTGTAGAGTGTTGTGGTTTCGAGATAGGACAGTCATTCTTGCCAAAGGTTTAATTGATGTGCATATGCCTTACGTTGACACTCCATGTCATGATTCATGCACCCATGCAGAAAGTGTACCTGAAATTTGTCCCCGGCGATCACAATCTTTGTGTCTTTACTAGCCATACAGAGAGGAGCCACTGCTTCAGGCTCCCTCATCTGAGCCCCTTCATCCAGAAAGATGTGTGTGATAAACCACGAGGGAAGAACATCGGCTATCTGCTTGGCTGTTAAGCATGTAGTGACAATTAAATATCGTTGCCGACTTCGAAAAGAGTTTCTTTTGATTTCTTTTTTAAAGCTATCAACCGTTTTTGTGAATCTGTTATTTTGGGTTGGGTATTTCGGTTGTAATCTAAAAATCGTTATTTCTTCTTTCATGCTTGTAAGATTAATATACATTGCAAGGAAAGCATCTGCTGATGTTTGTTGCTGCGTGCACACAAGTATTGCAAGGCGACTGTTCTTGGAGACGCTCTCTTCAACTGAGTAGTGTGAGGCAAGAGCAAGTACACGGGTTTTCCCTGTGCCAAAAGGTCCAGCAATAAGAACAGGTGGACCAGCTGCTGGGGTAGAGGTTACCACTTTCAAGGCTTCATACTGATCAGGAGAACAATATTCGCGGTAGGATTCCAACATACCACTTTCTGCATTTTTGATGGGAGTGAAATTAGTTGAGCTGGGGATGATGCGTGAAATAGCATCTTTCTGCAACTGCCTAATTGACTCTTTCAGAGATCGAAAATAGGATAATTTCAACCGAAAATGAACAGGCAGTGGTGCCGGAGAGGTGAAGGCCCTTTTTCCTTGCTGACCGAAATGTGAGAGAAGAAATTGAACTGCTTCTTTCTTGAACCCAACATAGAGACGTTCTTCAGCATGACGCATGTTTTCTTGCAGTATGTCACACTGGACGCTGCACTGTCCCAATTCAACGACTGCAGAGCTAGCCGACTGAGTAGCATAGCTGACTTCGTCGCAGCCCATTCCCTTGAGGTACCCAGAACGAGCATGATCAGGCCTTATGTTTAATTCTTCCGGTTTCTGCCCTGCCTGGTGCAGGCAGAGTACATACTTTTCATCACATCTAGTATATACAAAGATAAAAATGTGTGACTGCCCAGTAAGGCCGTAGTCACCACTTTATAGGAGTGGTTTGGTAATAATGCCTGTGACACATAATATGCCCCATATTATCTTATTTTCGGCTGCATTCTGAGGCATAATGTTGAACATGTTATGCTACATGCACCAGTCTTTCCAATCAATTACATCTTTAGGTGGTGATGTCCGTGCAGAATTATGGCTCAGAAGGATTTGAAACTCATTATACAGCATTGCAACACGTGTGCAAAAGAGCAATCCAAACAACGCTCAACGCAACGGATCACATTTAGCCACCTACCAGTGGTTTTTAAGATCTCTACAAGTAAATTAAAAATCCTGCAAATTAAAAAAAGAGGCATATAGGGATGGTATAAAAAGAAAGGGACACGAGATAGGGATGGGATACATGAAGCTGACACCCCCGACACCCATCACAAAATCCTATATTGTTGCCTGGTGTTCTACTCTTAAACTCCGTATAACGGTGTTGGTTTACTCAGTAGTTGGGTCTGTCTGTCTGTGTGTCTGTGTGTCTGTTACTCTTCATCTCACTTCTCGAGTGTTCTTTCGTCTCACAAAGGATACCACCTACCGAACGGGCGACAAAGGTCAGAAAATAAAGGCGGTTTTCTCTGAAAATGCTCCGTTGCAAAGCTAGAGCACGAAAAAGCCAATATGCAAATACGCAACGGACGGGATGGCTTACCGCGATCCGCGTGCTCTGCGACCTCGGAGGCACCAGAAGATGCAACGCAGGGCGTGTATCGCCTCTCGCATGCTGTCTAGTAGTGTAGTTAGCCCGCGTCAGACTCTGCGCGAGATGGCTAGAGACCAGGAGTAACAGCCAGAACTAAAGCCAGCCCATCAATTAGTGATACAGCGCATGCGTTTACTCACGCGTGCGCGTCACAATGCGCCGAGGGTTTGCACTTCAGTGATTTTCATATTTTCAAGAAATTGTGAATGTTTTAATACTTCACCTATAGGGATTGTGTAATGGGTGGGGGGTGTCAGCTTCATGTATCCCATCCCTTCTTGTCTTCATTTCTCCATCCCTATATGCCTCTTTTTAAATTCGCAGGACTTTGAATTTACTTGTCTCCACTCATTTTTATATACTATTACGTATATCTCTGTGAAAGGGGGTAAGCCCCCTATAAAAATTAAAAATAGAGAAACATCCCTGTTGTTGTCATGGTAATACGCTTGTGTACCAAGTTTCATCTCAATGCTGCCGTTAGCAAGTTTGAGGAGTGAAGAAGTAAATGCCTGAAGCTATTTGTTGTTGTTCAAACAATAATTATGTGGTCGTCATAGAAACGCTTGCGTGCTATATACCGTTCGCAAGTTTGAGGAGTGAAGAAGTACTTTAAAAAAATGCCTATTTATTGTTGTTTACAAACATGTATTGTTGTGATATTGATGTTGATGATTGAATGCATTATGCTTCATTTACATAGCTCTTACTTACACTGACACATGTGATCCATTATAATGTATTGCCTGGCGCTATTTGTTGTTGTTTACAGTAAATAATGTTTTTTACAAACAAATAAGTATGACCAGTCTCTTGGGGGGATTATATCTACATTCTTATTAGTGTACATTGTTTCGTTTTTGAGTTATGGGTGTTGAATCTGAAGAAGAAGAATGAACAAAACCATAGGCCTCATACATCTATGATGCTAGGTACATGCCCATCCCTATATACCGTACTATGACTGGCAGCTATGCTTTCTCATGTAAAAGGCTTCATTTCTAATGAAAAGCACTAAGCCGCACTGGCGCACTGTGCATCCGCGGTACCACAAATTTATGGGTTGGGCAAAGAGGATGCGTTTACTCGTGGCCTCCACGCTAGCTGGCGGAGAGTCTGACACGGGCTAGCTACACTAGTAGATAGCATGCGGGAGTCGATACACGCCCTTAGTTGTGACTTCTTGTGCCTCCAAGGTACAAAGAGCAAACAGATCAGGCCCAGTGCGATTTAGCTTTTTAGCTTGTTTTCATGGTATATCTCACGAACGCAGGAAGATTGCCATTTTAGTTTTCAGGTTGGCGTCGTTCTGAAGCCATTGGTATCGCTCATGGGCCATCATGTAGCCTGTAGTGCCAGAGTAAGCATGGACGGACAAACAGACGGTCAAAAAGACTACAGTAGCTTTTCACTGTGCACTTTGACCTGTCAGAGCAGATTTTGAGATTTCTGAGAGGTGAGGAGGGGGGGCATGGGCTCATGGAAAAATGCAGCGTAGCAAACAGGACAGACAAGACGATTACACTTGATAAAAATATTTTGGCAGGGGCATGTGCAACAAATTCATGTGCACATTTTAAGGTTTAATAGTTGCCTACATAAACCTCACAATAATATGTGAAACAAATTTTACACATTACATCACCTCTCATTCAGGACGTTGTGTGTAGAAGAGCAATTCCTAATAGAAGACTAACCTTTCTTTCAAAAGCTGTGAATGAGCAATTTCCTCTGATTTTAGCAATTCCCGGAACCTTTGATGGTAGTTGCCAACCACAAGGTGCTTGTGAAATATTGAACTTTGCTGTGGAGCAGTTGCCTTTGAAACACTTTCTGGTGATGGTGCTGCCAATACTTCTGCAAGCATCTGTGGTGGTGAAGATGTTAGTGAAAGTTTTCTAGACTTTTGACCAACTTGTTGCTGTGGCGATGGTGGCAATGTATGCCTTGGTTGTAGTGGCATTTGTTGCATTCTTTGTAAAAGCATTGGCTGTTGTTGTGTTGCTTTAACCGCCCCTTGCATCGTTTGCGAATAGGCTGAAGAGGAGTTTGCTGAAGAGAGACTTGCGCTGACAACCCCCTGTGAAGCAATCACTGTTGAAGAGGGTTGGCATAGAAGGAGAGGTAGACGTACCTGTGACTGGATTTGTGGTGGGAGGGTGACAGTGGTAGTCATATTTGGAGTGGATATCCCTGGAGCAGTCTCCCGAGGACTTTGTTGCTGCAGCAGATCCTCTTTATAGAGGGCCTCCAAACCAGGAAAATCTGGCCAGGGATCCTATTTTTAATAGAAAGCACTAGAATTATCTTCATTGCAAAAACAACACACTATAGGGATGGACAGCTCATATCTGACGTTATCTGCATGATAAAAATCCTGAAAGTAGAGCCTGCTAACTCGCTTGATGAACACAATCCTTTTGTTAATGTGCCAGTATAATTCTTGAAGCCTCATATCTATAGCCTTGCATCTCCCTACATTTACCACCAACTGCCTTCTTATGGGCAAAACCCTGGTCTATGCCTGCCTCCTCATGCACATCCCGTCTGTAATGTCGACGATTAAGAAGTTATATATACCTGAGGTTTGATTAAACTTTTAAGAGAAAATTGCCCTGTCTTTTATTTTTCCACTGAAGAGGTGAGTTCATTTGTGGCATGAAAATAACTTCAGAAGTGTGGTGTATCTTGCATACTAGGAATGCGCACGCGCATATTTTGCCTCGGGCCTGCCAGCCAATGCGTAAACAGTCCGACTGAGGCCGCTACTGACTCTACTGACTGCGCGCGAAGCTAGACTTCGATCCCACGAATCTGCTCGCACGGCGGAAGCTAGACTTCCTACGAATGACGGAAGTTACACTTCCTTTTTGTGACTAATTGACATTCCTAAGCGTGACTAATTTACGACGTACGTATATACGCATATCGCGAGAATACAACCCGGAGTATAGTAGTTGCCTCACACACGCTAACATATAACGCGCTCGGCAATGCGCACGCGCATATTTTGCCTCGCGCAGCCGCGCCAATGCCCGACTGAGGCCGCTCGTACGTGCGCGCGCTATACTGACTCGACTGCGCGCGAAGCCACGAATCTGCGCGCACGGTGGAAGCTAGATTTCCTACGAATTACGGAAGTTACACTTCCGTTTTGTGACTAATTGACATTGCTAAGCGTGACTAATTGACGACGTACGTGCGTACGTACGCATATCGCGAGAATACATCGCGAGAATACAACCCGAAGTAGTTGCCTCTCGCTCGGCAACTATAGAAAATACCCGAAGGAACGTTGATTATCACACATTCCTGAGGGTTTTGCGGAAACACCCGCAGTAGGCGTGGAAGTAATTTATACCGCGGTAACGGATTGCGTCATCATTTTCGGGCCATAATTAACCATCGGCGCGCATGCGCAGCGAGGGTTATGCACTGTAGTTGGGTCTGTCTCTGAGGCTCTGAGCTGCCAGGTCGGTCGGACCGAACGCTCGTTCTTTTCGACGGTTGCAGCATTGCAGGCGTCCATAGCGAAAAGTACGCAGATGAGATGGTTATGAACCGCCTAGAAGCTACCGCGGTCAGTCGTCCTTCTCTGCGAGTCAAGCAGTGAATCCCACAGCGGGAGTAGCTAGAGCGGCGGAGCAGCGTATCCTAGCGTTCGGCGTTCAATAGTCCCGCACGAGATGACGGTCTTGCGCTCTCGTCGCAAATTCCCTGTGCTTGGAAACGCAGTGCGCGTATACGGAGCTCATTTGCTCTGCACTAAACATGTTATGTACTCCGTATACTCGGGATATACCGGATTTCAATGAACATCCGCGTAGTGCCCTCGCTACGCTCGGGACACTACAAACGCGGAGGCCCTCGGGTTCATTGAAATCCGGTATGTCCCTCGCACGTATATAGTACATAACATAATTATATATCCCATGGGTAATGAATGTAGGAGACAGGTGTGCAGAAAGTGTATTACGTAACTCATCCAGGTCACGTAAGCAGAAACAATACCTTTGGTGAATCCATCTTCCTGTTGTCTGCACCTGTTATGAATGATCAAACTTGAGTAAATGTCCAACCTACACACACTACCCTCAAAGGGGTTCCATGCACAGCAGAGTCACAATTGGTGTTGACATACCCTGAAACTTGGACAGTGTGTCACCACATATTGTCTCACTACGGCAAGCAGTTGGGCAGCCTATTTGCATCTTCCAGCTACACAAACCTAGCATGCTTAGTAACGTACTATCAGTAGAAACCGGCTGGACTGGTATTGAAGGTGAAGAGGTCGGGGCGCTGACTGGCGGCGAACTGACGGAGATGGAAAATTTTTGAGCATTCCATTCCTCCTTCTCCTTTGAGCAGTGCGGAAATGTGCAACGCTCTCCTATGCATCTGTCTGGATCACAGTATACAAAGTAACCTCTGAAAAAAACTTTTGCCATTGGGCGGACTCTTGGTTCCAAGATGCCATCAACGATTCTGACTCGGACAGTGACGCCCTTGTGTGGGTTCGGCTGCCGTAAACACCTTGATTCCACCAACGACTGGACTTTATGCTTGATTTTCCCATACTTATCAAGGCAAACGTTGCACACTTCAAACGGAAAAGCCATGGAAAAGCGTAATCTCGCTCTCTCTAGCCGCTGGATCTCTAGAGCTCTCGGGCAATAATGCATCACATGACTAGATGACGTACCCCTATACCTGACCGCGACACGTTCGTCTACGTACACACCCCCTACGCCCGACCCCCCGGCGGCCCCCCGGCGGCCCCGAGATAGCTAGCTAGCTAGCTAGCTGTTGCTGGATTGGGATGGCAGCCTCTAAATTTCTCTCTTTGTGTCTACCAAATTCGTCTGGCAAGGAACCTTCATCCTTCAAATGGCCTACTGCTATCCCTCTCGTTCATCGAAGTAACTACAAATGGAACAAAGAAGCGGGCAAGCTCGCCTCAGGAGTCGAGAATGCCGACGATAAAAATGGAGTATCACACACTCTGCAGCTTGTGCCAGAAGCGATAGAGCTTCTAAAGACCATTAAAAAGCCGGTGGCCGTGCTGTCCGTCTGTGGGCCGTACCGAAGCGGTA